TGCTGTAATACATTCTGTGTAAGGAAACAGAAGATATATTTGTACAATCACTAATGCAAGAAGATTGAAAAGTACAGAAATAATTTGCATTGCATGTGTTAGCAAAGGCAGTTGAAATAAAATAAATATTTCAATATAATAAGGCTTATCCTTTGCATTGCTTTTTTTTGTCTCCTAGATGAAATCACAATATGTGTCTACTCTAAATCCCCAAGCCAGGACTGATGGCATACCTCATAATCCTTATATGAATGCATTCCAGATACTTTAAATTTATTCATCTAGCAAGTCAGATTGCAAAGGAAGGCAAAGTAGAAAGTAACAAAAAATAATTAGGCACCTCTCCAGTCTAGATTTTGGACAGCAGAGACTTTCTGCCATTTCTATTTTTTTTAAAAAAAATAGAGTGAAACTTTTGGGAAGCAGAGAGGGGTCCTTCAATCCAGAGCAGAGTTTCTTAGCACCAACTAAAAACTTGCTTGTTTACCCAGGCTCTAACTTTAAGTGTTTAACTATGCTATATTTAGTTGACAGTAAGCTGCCTTCAGCAGTTTTAGTAGCTATTATTTAAATAAATTAATAAGACATTGCACACCTTTTACAAGCAAAGTGTGGTTCTTTGTAATTTATTTAAATGCATGTTAAAATATGCAAGCAAGTAGCTTGCACAAGTTTATCTGTGTGAAAGATTTCCCATGTGTGTCAATCATGATTCATTCAGGCTTAAGCATTGTATAGCTTTTCACATATTTTGAGGCATAGGTCATAGTGCTGACTGTAATATTTGTTGCTTTTACCCAAAATGTCATTTAGGTTTTGTTTTTTTCTGATACTTTGTGAAATACATTTGCGACATCTTTAGAAATCTACTTTTTACAGTTTAGCTTTCATTACCCCCCCTTCCCTGTGATACTGGACCACAATCTTTAATGAAACAGAGTTTAGTTTATTGTAGGCATTAAATATTTTCTTCTTTGGTAAGCAATGCATTCATGCTATATAAGAAAATAATTTTGGCTTAGCTTTATTTTGTGTTGAGTTTCTGCATGCATTATTTAAAAAAATGCATACACAGCTGTCCAAAAAGTGGGTTAGTGAAAAAAGTAAAGATATTAAATGAACAGTAATTTGTGTTCTACAGAGAAGAATGAAACAACTTCATTGTATTAATGACCTATTTATTTAGCCTGCTGAAAGAAGCACAAATAATAGAATGACAGGAACTGGAGACATACTTGCTTTCTGTAAAGACATGTGTTGTCAGCTGAACACTGATAGGGCTGAAGTGTCTTATCAAGGTGGACACTGATCCAAAGCAATAAGATTTCAACAAAAATGTAAGGGAAGAAATAGGAGTTTAGCCTTATATTTAAAGCACATTGAACTTCCTAGTATGACTGGATACTCAGTTCCTGGGCAGTGGAACATTTCAATCTGAAAAAATGGTTAATAAGTCACTAGCAAGAAAAGTTATGCTAATTACAGCCATTATTCAAGGAAACCATATTCACAAAACTGCAAGTGCATCTGGAGGCCTGTAACACAGTGGCCTACCGGTTCTTCCAGAGGGCCGCCAACAGGGCACAGAAAAGGTGTCTCAGAGCAGCTTACAAACTCCTTTCCCTTCCCCTCCCCACAACAGACACCCTGTGAGGTAGGTGGGGCTGAGAGAGCTCTGACACAAACTGTTCTTTTTTCAAGAACACCTCTGACAGAACTATGGCTTGCTCAAGGTCATCCAGCCAGGTGCAAGTGGAGGAGTGGGGAATCAAACCCGGTTCTCCCAGATTAGAGTCCGCAGACTTAACCACTACACCAAACAGAGGCTGAGGCCTTCCAGTGATGTTGCCTCCTAGCAGTGGTATTTACTGTCTCTGAATGTGAAGGCTAATTTTGATCACCATAACTAGTAGCCAGTAATAGAACTAGCTCCTATGATTCTATCTAATCCCCTTTAAAAGCTGTATGCTTGTAGTCATCAGTCCATAGTCTGGGAGCAAATTTGTGCTCTATCTTTTTAGTGCTCTGTTGTTGAACAGGATGAACTGAAAAATTGTTAAAAGAATATATTTAGTTTAGGGCCTGGCATTTATTAAGTTCACAGTTGTTTAGACAGGCACAATGTAAGTATTTGTACAGCTTTTGTGGTGTTTCACAATCCTCTCTGACTGCTGTTCCATCTGCTGTCAATTTACTAGTGGTGGTTGACTTCTAGCTAACTTGTTTGCTCAGAAATAAGACTTCCTATATCCATAATACTTACTTCCAGTTAAGTGCACATGGGATGGGTAGTTCTTTTCTCCTGTTCCAAAGGAACTGTAACCCCATTGAATAGAAATGGCCATGTAATTTAGCAGAACATTTTTTGTAATCTGGAATCAAATTTATATTATCAAAGGTGAAGAACAGTAACATCTCCCTGGCGAATTGCCAAAGTAGATTCCGTAGTGATGTAATTCAGAATCAGGACCTTTCATTTCCTGAATTTTTAATTAATGCTGTATTCTTTTCAGGACTTGCATCCATTACTTTTTCCAATTTTCTCCATATTCTATTCCCTTATTTTACTATTCAGTTACATACTTGCAACTCTGTTCTGTTGCTGAATGATATTGCTATACAGCTAACAAAACAGGAAGTGATAATTGAGTTGAGTTTAATCATGGGCTTTGTGTCTGATTTCACCTGTAATGTCATTTCTGAGAGGACTATGAATTGAGCTGTATTGTAAAATTAACTGGGAAATGTAACTAAATGTCATATTCATGGCTTACACTATGAAGATGAAGAAAATGGGCAATTGTATCAAACAGTGCAAATGAGCGTATCTTATCTTGGTGCTTCTACTACAATCTAATATCTAGGAATTTAGTGTCTGATAAGAAACTGTCTGTCTTCCAGTGGCCTGTAGTTTATAGAGTCTGTGTATGTATGTATACAGTCATGAAAGATGGGGAAATGACACAATAGTCTAGAAACCACAGAAAGACCTAGTATATGTATCCATACTAAAATAAAAATAAAATGTTCCTTAAAAATTCAGAAGCAGTGGTAATAGATATATGTGTTCATGTTTTATTATTAATATAGTAGAATATCTTATAACTATACTTTTAGATACTTTTGTATGTGAAATCAGAACATGAAAACCAGATATTCCTTTAAAATAGTTTTTGTTAAATAATAGTTGTATTTTGCCATTAGAACATGTTTATTTAGGACATTTTAATGTTGCCTCTCCAGAGTCCTGCTTGAGGTGGCTTACAAGTCAAAACACCATAATCATGCTAAGTATCAGCATAAAAAGCCACTAAAAACAAACCATTAAAAATAAGGGTGGCAGTCACACGTGCAAGATAAAGCTGGGGAGAAGCAAGGCTATTTGCTCCGTAGGAATTTGACCCGCAGTTGCGCGATCACACAGTCCTTGGAAGCTGTGGGTACAGCCCGTCGCAACATGATCAGACACAACTGTGGGTTAGTCGTGGGGTTAGGTTGCGCTGTGTGTTTCCGGTGCTCTTCAACGAGGGATCGATGATTCGCATCTCTGCACTGAGGGCTCCCTATGCAGTGTGCGATGATGCACATACCAAGGGAACAACGGCATGGAGTCAGGATGGCCTGATCAGACCATCCCGATGCCATCGGAGCACGCTGGAGCGATCACACAGGGGAAAGTCCATCCGTGGCTCATAGCAACCCATTTGCTACTGGACTTTCCCCAGTGTCTTTTTACTCTGCTTCTGCGGCGGAGCAAAATGGGTTGCCGACAGGTGCGGGGCGCTTCCCAGATGTTTGTGTTCGATCGTGCCCTTTAAATCCGCCTGGCATTCGCCCCTATAGTGCGGCTAATTGTACATGTGATTGCGACCAAAGATAACCATAAAACAGACCTCAGACCAGAAGTAGACCATAAAACAGCTAAAAAGTTAAACCTATTCAGTTAAAAACCTGGGTAGAAAGGACGGATTTTGTTTTGTTTTGGCTTGGCTCCTAAAGGCATTATGGTAAGCACGAAGCAAGCTTGAAGGGGGATGGCATTCCAAAAGCAAGGTGCCATAGTTCAAACTTCCCTCTGTTTAGCGGCTACCTTCCTCGCCTCTGAAGGCATGAGCACAGAGAGCAGGGCTTAGGTGCCATGAGTACTTTTGTAGTTTTTAATTAGGTTAACAGAAGTGGTTTCTGTTGTGTTGCACAGAGCTATATTCAAGATGTGCTGTGAATCTGTTACCATGTTGACTGAAAGGTGAAATATTTGGGGATACAGATACTTTTTACAACTGGGTGTTTTATTTACTTATTTTTTAAAAAAAGATTCACCTGTGTGAGCTAGAACTACTTTATGTCTGAAGAAATGGAGCTTTTTATGGTTACGTTGCAAGGGGAAAAAACTATACTTAAGCTTTCTTCTACAACTGTGATGTGCCCACACAGCTGATTGGTGATTCCCAATGTAGCATTCATGGGTGCCATGGTGCTCACCAATGAATCTCCTGGCTCTACTTAATCTTGGAGAAAAAATCTACAGGATATTGAATGGAACAGAAAACAGTTGGCGTTTCAGGGCACTCCTTATCTGCTAACAGACTTGCAAAATGCTGAGCTCATCTCAGCTAGGTATACCACAGCTGTGTACCCTTGGCTTAACTGTAGACACAGTCTTTGTTATGGCTCTGGTTTTGCAACCTCTCCCTGTGGTTGCACAGTGATCAAACCTTTCTGGGAAATTGAAACTAAACAGTGTCTCTTCTTAAAGGAAAGAACCAACCCTGCTTCCCATGGCAGCCATTTTTATGAACCTGCTACTGTTCCTCAAAATTCTAAATATGCATACAGGCTCAGCAAGATTGGGTACCCCTGATATAGAGGTGCCTCAGCATATGCCATGTGTTGTTTTAAAGCAGTATTTATTGAGTTCTTCCTTGGCCTTTATTTTTCAAGCCAGTCCAATTTTCATTTTAGGTTTAATTCTGTTGTTTCTTATTTTCTTTCCTGTGTAGGTCCACAACTGTGCTGTAAACTATGTCTCCTTTTTTACGAATATCGTTCAACTCATGTGAACTAGGGCCTGTGCAGAACCATGGAGAACAACTACAGCCATTCTGTGCAATAAAAATGAAAGAGGCCTTAACTACAGGTAAGAAGACTTATTGGCTGCATTTGTGGACTGGGGTGCTTCACTGTAGGATGAACTGTAGGATGAACTTCTTGATCCTATGCTCATTTACTTTGAAGTAAGCTTTATGAACTGAACAAATAATACTCCCAAATAAGTGTGCATTATGATTTTGCAGCATTCAGTGTCCTGTTTAATTTTGCACTGTATATCAGTTTATTTAAACACAGTGTGACTCAGGGTCGTAATTCAGGTTGACTACTTGATTAGTCAAGAAAGATTTGGTAAATTGAGCAGTCAAATATTGTAAAGGTATTCGTCAAGAATTTTGATAATCAGTCTATCAGTTCTTTATTGGCAGAGAATATAGATTGCTTTTACATTACAATTGGGTAAATATACCAACATTTTGATAATCCACAGGCTTTGATGCTTATGCTAATTCAATTCAGTTCAATTACAGAAACAAATCTGTTAACTGTTACAGCAGGTTGACAGCAGGAGGACTTTTCCTATACTGCGGGGTTTGCCTGTTGGAGGAATAGGGGACTTTTAGCCCCTCACTACCAGATGACATCATAACATTTAAAGAAGTAAAGCTACCACGGATTGTATTTTTGGCTTCAGGAAATATTTGATCATGATTAATTCACAGGTAGTTGATTGACTGAATACATAAGAACAGTAGACTTGCTAAAGTTCAGTGTTTCAATGATAGCTCTTTTGAAAATCCCATGAAGACAGCCTTTGAGTTCCATGAAGGAAAGTGCACGCGGGGATATCAAGAGGGTATAATATTAAGAACACAATGTCTGTTGGACAGGGTTCCTGTAAAGGCAGTGGGAATGCATCCAGTGAATAAGATAAAGATACGTATAGCATGGAGAGGTAGAAGTGAGGCAAGCATGTGGCAAGAGCAGCAGCAAGCAAAGACTCCACTGTTTACAGACCAGATAGCAAAGCCCAACATGAATTTTATGAGGATCAAGGCTTGCTGTAAAAATACATTTTAAAAGTACCATGTGTTGATTTTATGTTGCAATATCAGCAGACACTTGAAATGAAATGTTGGATTAGGAAGAATAAATACATACTGTGAATTAAATGTTTCAACAAAGTTAAAGCTTTATGTAGATATTATTTTCATTGAAAAAATGCTTGTAAAATTTTAAAGACAATGTAGCAGGCACGTTGTTTACCTTTAAGGAAGAAGGGCACTGAACGCTGCTGACACATGAATTTTCATATTCTCAAATAATTGTGCTTGCCATACCATAAACGTGATTGTCCACTCATCTATTTCAATATAAGTCACTGGGGCAGCTCAGTTTCCTTTTCACTGTCTGCATAATCGCTTGTATCTCTTATTGGTTTCATATAATATCGGTGATTCCCTACCCATATAGATCAGAATTTTAGCATTAATTTTGATTTGATCTTTATATCAGGTGAATTCAAAATTTTATTTGGATTGTTATGGTTTATCCTTGCTTCTCATTTACAAATCAGTAAAGCATGCACTAATCACCTGGAAAACTGTAATTAGAATGTTGAAACTGCCAAACTTGCTTAGTATTTTATTGGCAATAATATTTTAAAAAATTAACAATAGTGAATCTTTTGAAATGGAAGACTTTCCAGAGAGCTCAAGAACAGTATAAAACTTGAAAAGTATGTAACATATGAAGAGCCCTGCTGGAACAGACCAGTGGTCCATCTGGTCCAGCATCTTGTCTCACATCAGTTCCTCTGGAGGTCCAACAACAGGGTGCAGAGGCTTTCCCCTGGTGTTGCCTCCTGGCACTGGAGGTTTCCTTCAGTCATCATGGCTAGTAATCACTGATAGACCTGTCCATGTATCTGTCTAATCCCCTTTTTAAGCTATCTGTGCCTGTGGCCATCACTGTATCCTCTGACAGCAAGTTCCTCTGGCAAGTTCCTACATCCTCTGGCAGCATTTTAATCACTAGCTGTGCGTAAAGAAGCATTTCCTTTTGCCACCATCTGTCCTGAATGCTTTCAGCTCTCTCCACCCTGTGTATAATTTTATAATTATGTACTCTCCTAGTTGTCTCTTATGAATTGAAAAGTCCCAGACTCTTCAGGCATTCCTCGTAGTAAAGGTGGTCCAACCTCTAATCATCTAGGTTGCCCTTCTATGTACTTTTTTTCAGCTCTGCAATGTCCTTTTTGAGATAATGGTGACCAGAATTGAGCTCAGTATTCTAAATGAGGCTGCACCATAGATCTATACAGGGGCATTATCATATTGGCCAGTTTATTTTATTATTATTAAAAAGAAGACAATTTTATTTGGATATAACATCAATTCAACCAATATAACATTTTAGCATCCATCTTATATCCTTTTCTCCCCATATCTCCCCCCTTCTGGCTTCCCGCAGTGCTCCTGCAAAATAGATTATTCTTCACATCCCAATATTTCTCCAGATATTCTTTAAGATCTATCCAGCCTGCAAAAAATTCTTCCGCTTCCTGATTCTTGAGCTTTCTTGTCATTTTGTCAATTTCAACCATAAAAAGCAACTTTTTTATCCACTCCCGGATCCCTGGCGTTTTTTCTTGTTTCCAGCATTGAGCATAAGTCATTCTGGCTGTTGTGATCATGTGCCACATTAGAGTCCGTTTTGCAATATTTACTTCTTCCATTTTATGTCCCAAAAGTAACAATTCCGGCTCCTTCTTAAATTTACATTTCGTAATTTTCTCCATCTCATTATGGACCTCAGTTCAAAGATTTCTTGCTTTATCACAAGTCCACCACATATGATAAAAAGAACCTTCTATTTTTTTACATTTCCAACATTTGTTTGACATGTTACTGCTTATATTTGCTATCTTTTTTGGTGTCATATACCATCTATACATCATTTTATAGCAATTTTCTTTTAAATTATTACATGTTGAAATTTTCATTGCATTTCCCCACAAAAATTCCCAAGATGACATATATATTTCTTTATTCATATTAACTGCCCATTTTATCATCTGCTCCTTTACTGTTTCATCTTCTGTATACCATTTTAACAATATCTTATATATTTTAGATATCATCTTTTTACCTTTTTCCAACCATACGCTCTCAATGTCATTATATTTCCCCCTAAACCCAAAGTCTTTTTTGTCTGTTTTAAACAAATCATAAATTTGTCTAAAATGCAACCAACCATAATTAAATCCAATTCCTCCTTTTCTTTTATATCAAACGTCTTTCCAACAGGTTTCAAAATATCCCTATATTGTATCCAATCCTCTCCTTTGTAGCTCGAGTATGGCTTAATTACCTCTGCTGGAACTATCCAAAGTGATCTCTCCTCCGAAAAAAACCTTCTATACTTTGACCATGTGTCACATAGCGTTCTTTTGATGTAGTGATGTTTAAACATATTGTCCATTTCTGTTTTCCCATACCGTAGGTATGCATGCCATCCAAATTTGCAGTCATGCCCTTCCAATGCCAGCAATTTCCTGTTGTCTAAATTAATCCATTGTTCCAGCCATGTTAAACATACTGCATCATGATACAGTCTAAAATTTGGTAATTGAAATCCACCTCTTTCTTTTGCGTCACATAAAATTTTCATCTTGATCCTTGGTTTTTCCCCTGCCCATACGAATTTTGAAATCTCTCTCTGCCAAGAATTCAAGATTTTTGAGTCTTTCACTATTGGAATAGTCTGAAATAAAAACATCAAACGTGGTAAAATATTCATTTTAACCACCGATATTCTGCCCAATAGTGACAAATTTAAGGTATTGCATTTTTTAATGTCCTGCTGCATTTGGCACCATAACTTGTCATAGTTATTCTTAAAAAGATCTATATTCTTCATTGTCAATTCAATACCTAAGTACTTAGGTTTTTTAACTACTTCACATTGTATTAGTCTCTGCAGTTCTTCTTGTTTCACACCTGACATATTCTTACACATCACCTTAGATTTGTTTTTGTTTACATAAAATCCCGCTAGCTCTCCAAAATCTTCTATTTTCTCTATAAGCAACGGTAAATTTCTTGTGGGCTCTTCGACCATAAACATTACATCATCAGCAAATGCTCTATATTTGTATGAAAAACCTCTATTGGTTAGTCCTTTAATTTCTTTATCCTCTCTTATTCTACCAAGCAGTACTTCCAGCATCCATATGAATAGCAATGGAGATAACGGACATCCTTGTCTTGTCCCTTTTTGAGCTTTAAAGTGGTCTGTCACCTCTGTATTTACATTTAGTGTTGCTTTCTGTTCGGAGTAGATCGCCTTAATTATATTTGTAAATGACTCGCCAATGTCCATTTTTTCAATAACCTGATACATAAAGTCCCAATTTAAATTGTCAAAAGCTTTTTCTGCATCCACAAAAAAAAAGCCCACCTCTTTTTCTGGATGTTTATCATAATATTCAATTGCATCGATCACTGTTCTTAAATTGTCTTTAATTTGTCTATTTGGTAAAAAAAAAAAAACCGCCTGTTCTTCTTCTTTAGCATCCTTCAAATAAATCTTTAATCTTTCAGATATAACTTTTGCAAAGAGTTTGTAATCATTATTCAAAAGTGAAATTGGCCTATAATTTTTCACATTTGTTAAATCCTGCGCTTCTTTTGGTATAAGCGATATATTAGCTTCTAGCCATGATTCTGGTATTTTCCTTGTTGTTCTTATTTCATTTGTCAAAAGTTCCAAAGTCGGGATTAGCTCAACTTTTAATTTCTTATAAAACTTTGCGGTAAATCCATCTGGTCCTAGAGCTTTCCCTAACTTTGCCTCTTCTATCGCCTTATATATCTCGAAATTGGGCTATTTAACATTTTCTTTACATCTTCTTCCATCTTTGGCATTTCCATTTTGTCCAAATATTTTCTAATTTTTTCTTGGTCTACATATTTCTTCTGAAATAACTTTGTTGTTGTTGTTGTTCAGTCGCACAGTCGAGTCCGACTCTTTGCGACCCCATGGACCAGCTCCCTCCAGGCCTTC